GGTGTCCCAGGGCTGGGAGGTGGCGTCTGGGAGGCACAGCGGGCATGGCAAAGGGCGCAACGGCCTCCGAGGGGACGACAAAGGCAGGCACAAAGCCGTAGGAGAGATCGAAGGCTTTGGGGGCTACACCGCTCCGCAACGGGGCAAGACGGGCTGGTGGTGGGCTAGCCAGGGCACGTGGGTGCCCCGCGGGGCCCGCAGGGTCCCTGCCCACCTGGTCCTTCCGCAGCAGCTCCTGCAGTTTCTCCAGCTGCGTCCGGCAGATGTGGGAGCGCGTGCGGCTCTGGCAGAAGGACTCCAGAAAGGAATCGAGGGGCAGGTCCTGGCCCAGAAACTGCTCTATCTGCGCCTGTGGGATGGGCAGCGGGACAGCATCAAGGCAAGAGAGTTGTGTGACCACAGAGGGAGCCCAGATGGCAGAGCATCCCCTGGACCCTGGACTCTTTTCCAGGGCTTGGCAGGCGGGAGGGCAAGGAGAAGAGTCCAGGGCTCAGGCAAGGAAGGGGCAGCAGCCATAGGGGTCTGTCTTGCCTGACTCACCTCTGACTCTGCCTCGGAGGCATCAAGCTTGGCTTGGAGCTGGCCCAGGGCGCTCTGCGGGCTCCACTTCTCCAGGTATGTGGCTGTGTTGGGAGGAGATGGGGCTGCCAACAAACCTCCCCCTAACACCCCCGCTGCTGGGGCTGCAGTCTTCCCCATCCCCAAGCATCAGCTCCCCCCACTCTCGAACTAAAACACCCCCAAAGACACCCCTGGAGCCACCTGCACACCACGGCATCGATCCCAGCTGAGGGCTGGCTATGTCACAGGCCGTACCGCCCCCCCACTGCTCCCGATCATGGCCGGGCCATTTCCCCAAGAGGGGTTTGAGGATGCTGAGCCCACTGGGGCCCTCGTATTAACTCGGGTTGCTCTGGCCGTGATGGGCTCGTCCCATCGGCTGCACCCCACTCACCCAGGCGCTGCTGCTTGTCCCAACACGCCTCTCGTATCTCCCGCAGCTCCTGGTACTTGATGGCCAGGGAAGCCTTCCCATCCTCCAGCCGCGGGCGCAGGGACAGGTTCACCCTGGCCAGGGTGCAGTTTGAAGCCAAACACATCTCCCGTTCCAGCTGCAGACTCTGAAACTGTGGGAATGGGAACGGGGGTGGGGTGGGGGTGGGGGGTGTCAGCACTGGGAGAAATGGGCAGAACCAGTCAGAGCTCCAGCCTGCTGGGAGCGGGTCCGTCTCCATCCAAGGGTGAACCCTCTTCTCCTGTACTGTCCCCATCCCTCTGCTCTGCCTGGAAAAGGGGGGTGCATCCCAGTGGGGATGCAACGGCTGGACTTTGCAGAGGAAAGGACCCTTGCCAGCTAACGAGGGTGCCAGGAGAGAGACCCGCACCCTCTCTCCCTGCACACCCCTCTTTCCACCCACGCAGAGCGGGGAGCAGAGCGTGGTGCCGGGCTGCGCTTTGAGAGGCCCAGGGGGAAAAGATGCTAAAATCGGGCTGAGAACGATTTCGGAACAACCCGACCCCGTTTCCCGCAGAGCAGCGCCAGGAACCGGGGGAGCCCCCGGGGGCTCAGCCCCGCTGCGGAGGAACGAAGCAAGGCGCGGAGGGCACGGCGAGGGGCCGGAG